TACGTAATCTACGTGAACATGTCCATTAACATTTATTGTTTTGGGTTTATTACTCAAATTCCACCGTCCATATCATTCCGATCATTAAGAATAGTCCTCGTCACAGTTCCCTGCGCCATCTTGAAGGGTAGCCGTGCCTTTGCATCAAAGCGAGACGAACGGTGAACTTGCAATGATAGAGACCTTTTTTAAACACCTTGGACAATTATTCACAGGTCTCTATTATTGCAAGCTCACCGTTTGTCTCGCTACGATGCACAGGCACGGCTACCTTTCAAGATGGCACAGGGAACTGTGAAGGGGACTATTGGACTCCTTGTGATTAGGGACTGTTTCATTTTTTGCCTGGGAGGGAGGGGGGACAGTCAGATTTTAGGATACTTAAAAGCAATCCAATGCTCAAGAGGGGGGCACACAAGGGAAGTCAATAAAAAATCCCATCAACCCTCCTCCCTCCCCTACATGGTAAAAAATGATCAGTCCCTTAGAATAGATTGTGCAACATAGCTTTGTCAGTAAATAGTGCAGAGTTATTCTTTAATATTTGTTGAATCTTAAAGTATTGAATATTTCGGGTTCATTGCCTAGTTGGTGTGTGCAGGATATGAGCGAATCCGCTAAGTAATGGTCTTAACTTATGCATGTACTTATAATTCTGATATTATAAAAGTGTTGCCAGGAAGTTAATGTATCCAACATGACCTACACTTTTTCCAAAATACTCAATAACTGGACGTTTTCAATCACTCCCAAGAGAATCAAAAAGCAGAGAGATGGTGACGCTGTTCAGGTCCCAAGCCTATCCCCCTCCCCCTTCCACAACATGCTGCTATGCAGGCTATGTTCATTGTTGGTGGAGCTGATGAGCCATCAACATAGCACAATGAAATGACCTGAATTCATGTCAGGAATTCAAAATATTTTACCCCAAGTCCATGATTTATACTCAAGTTCACTTGAAGTTATCCCAAGTCCAGTCCAGGCCATACCTTAGTTCATACTCACTAGACACTTCATAAATATATGTATAAATAAATATATGTAATACTCAAAGAGTGACCTTTTATGATTGACACAGTTTTCTTGGTCATTGGTAGGGCTTTATATCCCATTCACATCAGAAATTCAAAATGCTTTACCCCAAGTCCTTGATTTATACTCAAGTTCACTCGAAGTTATCCCAAGTCCAGTCCAGGCCATACCTTAGCTCATATTATATATGAATAAATATATGTAAGACTTAAGTGACCTTTTATGATTGATGCAGTTTTCTTTGTCATTGGTTAGGCCTTTACATAGCCCTGCTCATTACAAATTCAAGGGATACTATTTACTGCCTTTGAATACTAATTAATATTGCCTTTGAATGCATAATGAGATCAGGGGTTAAATAAACTTATAGTGAGTCTGTCAATTTGTTTTTTTTTTCCTGGGAAATTGAGTTCTAGTTTTCTCGTGTAAGTAAGATTAGACCACCAGATTCAATGGTCCCTGCCTCCTGTCATGGCTGCGCCATCTAGTGGTGGTGCAAACACTTTCATTGTAACCTCTAAATATAAGCTTACATATTGAATGCTCTAAGTCCATCGCTGCAGAGTTTCTAACTTAAATATAACATATATTAAAGGCCGATAAAATTTCGCATTTATCTCACTCCATGTAGAAAGATAATACAGCTCTAGAAGGTGATATTTGCAGACGCTGTTATCTCAACTAGAACACTGCAAAGTATAAATAAATCTGAGCCTAGTTTGATGATTTCAAAATTCTACCTCAAACATGCATGTCAAAATATGGAATATAAAAGTACTCACTGACCTGAAACCAGTTGTTAAAAGATACAATAGTCATTGTAGAAGGTTTTCGAACTCTTCAAGCAAGGCTAGAAGTTGATGGGATGAAGTTTTTTTTTTTTGGAAGACAAAGGAGGAGGAGTAGAAGTTTTCAACAATTCTCATGTTTGTTGATGAGACCGCTGGAAAGCCGGTACGCGGACGTTTGCAGACTGGGACGAGAAAAGTGGAGAATCGAAAAAATAGACTGCGAGCTAAGTCCCTCAACATCCCTCAACAACACGATCCTTGAAGTGTTACGACGGCAGTCCCTCTATTTTTCTTTCGTCCCTCCCCAGCCCCCTCCCCCAGGGACCTTTGACTCGTAACCAATTCCTCGACCAATCGACACGGACAGACAGACGGACAGTGACAGTGACCAAGCGAAATAGCCGGGACTTAGCTCGCAGTCTATCGAAAACAGGAATCGAAATGCTTTGAAGAGTAAGGAAGGACACAATTTTAATTTTTTATACTCTAACTTTTCGCGTAAATTAATATACGTTACTGCTAGTTTTTCAAAACAGAACCTACATAAAAGGGATTGACTAGAGATGGTAAGATATAAGTAGACAAATACTGATACTCAGAGAAATAGGGTATACTTCTGCGTTCTGGGGGGCGACTAGCCGCTTCCTCAAGCTTCAGCCGAGCTTCCTGATCACTGACTGGATATAGAGGCGTCGGACGGGGCCGAAATCTCTGACACAGTCGTTTAAATGCTAAGGGCTGCCATACTGCGCTTTAGCGCTGGGTATGGAAGCATCGTCCTAAATCCTCAAATCAATCGCAAGTGAGCTTGCAGGGCCGTAACCAGAACTTTTTACAGGGAGGGTGCACATCGAATAAAATCGGACCATTGATCGTTTCTTTTAAGAAAGCAGAACCAAAAGAAAAAAAGAAAAAGAAAAAAGGTAACCGAAAGAAAGCAGAACCAAAAGAAAAAGAAAAAGAAAAAGAAAAAAGTAACCGAAAGGAAGCAGATGCTTTCTGCCAAAGTTATAAGAAAATATAGAATGACGAATAATTGATGAATAAAACATTTTACTACTATGGTATATAAGTTTACATTTTTCTCTTAATTGTTGTTTCTTGATATGTTTACTTCAATCCGAATCGGTGCGTACAGTAACTAGAGATCAGTTTTAACTTCATGCTCAGTAAGAATACAATACAGTTTGGTTCTTTTATTCCTTGAGTCGCGCCATTTTCATCTTTATCACTGGAAAGAATAACATCAAAAGTCTATCAGATTAATTGCCGAGCGGGAAATGAAGTTTATTATGAGGAACAAGTGTTGCTTGGTTGGTTAGTGTGATGCCTGCTAAGCAAGAGGTCCATAGTTTGATCCTCAGTGAACTCACACACTTGTTTTAAGGAGCAAGTGTGGCTTGGTTGGTTAGTGTACTGCCTGCTAAGCAAGAGGTCCATAGTTTGATCCTCACTGACCTCACACACTTGTTTCAAGGAGTAAGTGTGGCTTGGTTGGTTAGTGTGCTGCCTGCTAAGCAAGAGGTCCATAGTTTGATCCTCAGTGACCCCATACACGTTTTGAGGATCAATTCAATTTAAGGATGAATTCAAGTGTTGCTTGAATGGGGTATGCAACCTTTTTAGTTTCATAAGCATACAATTACAATCCACATGTTCAAACCTGCCTAAGAAGCGCAAACCTTTGAGATTAGAGAGTGATGATGATGATTTATTGGCTTGCAAAGCGAATGATGATTTATAAAGCAAATTCAAACTTACTTTTTATGGTTTGCTAGAGAGCAACCTCTGTTTAAGGTATGCAAGCTTTTGAGAGTAGCTTATTCACGTGTTTAGCAGCATGATCGATCAGATTCCTGAAGGAGTTCAAAAGGAATATTTGATCTTGAGCTCCAGTGATGATTTGAAGTTCATTAGGATCAACGTCATTACCAATACCAATGGCAAGCATCTTGCAGCCCATACCCTGGAAAACAAACACAATATAAAATAATAAATAAAATAAATTAACTTTATTTAATGGCCCTCCTACAATTAATGAAACTGATATGAATGATCAAAGAAACATAAAGTTTGTTAGAATAGCACGAATAGCATCTTGCAGCCAATACCCTGGAAAACGAACATGATGTTAAACCTATAAAGAACAAGCACTACTATTGGTAGAATTACACCAATAGCATCTCGCAGCCCATACCCTGTTAAACAAACACAATGCTAAACCTATAAAGAACAAGCACTACTATTGGTAGATCTCAGTCTTCAAACTTACCCTGAGTTCGGAAGAAGGTGCCGGGAGTCTGTTTAGCCCGTTCCAAGACTGACCATCAGTCATGACAATGATTGTTTTAGGAACTCCTGGTCTCTGAGAAATCTTGATGATTTTATCTCGCGCACAATTGAGTGCATTGTCGGTCAGGGTTGATCCAGCAGTGTACTGAATGTTGTTTATTACCTGGAAAATTTGAGAGAAAAAAATAAGACATGAAATAGCTTGCCACTTACTCCCATCTTTTCAAGTTCTCTCTATAAATTAAAAGAACTAGGTGATAAACAATAAAGCAGTTGTACTTCAGGGCCGTAACCAGGGGGGAGCACAGGGTGTAAAAGCTTATGGTCCGCTCATGTATCTCCTTTGGCTTTAAAATTGCATGTATATGTTTTTTGATTAAATTAAGACCACTTCCCATCTGCATTTTGTAGCATTTTTAAAAATCACTCACCTATTTTCCCTTCGTGTTTTTTTTTCTTTTCTTTTATTCTTTTTTTTTTTT